ATTTACCGAATCCCAAAAAAAAGATGGAACACATAATTGTGTTTAAATTGCGTGAACCCAAGACATGATCAGGATTTAGAAGCAGAAGCAGAAGCAGACGCAGATGTAAATAAAAGCCCAACCTCTTCACAATCCGGATCATGTACACAAGCCCACTTTTGAAGGGAATTTAAAAGCCCAACTAGACTTTGTCCTAAACGCACCGTTAATACATAAACACAAGTTAAGGCGACCTCTCCATCTGATTCGAATCAAATTCTGTCTTCTTCATCTTCTTCCTCAATTAGGTCGAAGACTGTGTTGCTTATTTCATCTTCAATTTGTGTAAATTCCACTCGGAAATAAAATGGCGAAGAACAAAACGTCGATTGTGGATACAAGGAAACGATGATTATGTGGAGATTTTAGATTCCGGTCGGAAATAAAATGGCGAAGAACAAAACGTCGATTGTGGATACAAGGATTTGTGGTTCAAAATGATGATTATGTTGGGATTTTAGATTGAAAAGGCATCTTCTCTTCGAACGTGGATACATAGATTTGGGGTTCAAAACATGATGATGTTGGGGATTTGATATTGGATTGGGAGCTAAATCGAATGTCGATCAAATGATAAAAGGATTTGAGATTTGAGATTTCAGAAACGATGATAAAAGGATTATGTTCACTTCGAACTAAGAGGGGACGTCCCCTCCAAGACGAATGAGGGACTAGAAATTGGTTAGGGCGGCGGGTCGTATCCATAGGGTTTAACCTCTTAATCGATATAATTAAACCGGGTACAGTTAAGTTGAAGTCCAATGAATATAATTAAACTGGGTACAGTTAGGTTGAAGTCCAATGAAAAACGCTTAAACGCTTCGTGATGCTTTTGGTAATTTTCCTTGCCCCCGGTTACCCGTACCCCGGATTTTGCCCTGGGCACCCTAGAACTGCCCATATATATATATATATATATATATATATATATATATATGTATATACATGTGTATGCAAAGTATTATTTGAATGCTAGAAAACCAAGTATAAAGCAAGGATCAAACACGAAAAAATGAACAAAGAAACAAAAATAAAATTGACAAATGGAAGAGGACGTGGATACAAATAGTGCAACACCCTGCCAGCTAAACGAACAGACAAACGAACCAACAAAAGAACAAAACAAACAACAATGAAGTGGCCAAGAAAGAACAAAAGAAAAACACCAGTGAACCTCGAAGCTTTCTCCATCCAAAGTGCTCTTTAAACTTCATTTATAGCGTTCTCATCATAAGGGCAAGTTCGGGCAAGTTCTGATCATTTTTAACCTCAAAACTTTATATTGTTCAGATTGTGGGGAACCCATGTCAAGATATTTCTCGATATACAAAACTGATTCTTTATAGCACAGGATGATGAACCTGAAAGTGTTCTTCTTGTTTTTTGAACGAGGTAAAATGCAGCCCCCCAATTGTTAACAGTGGGAAGATGGAACCCAAAGTAGAATCTTGTACTCTTGATAATAAGATCATTATCAATGAGAATGGAGCAAAAACTCATGCATCAAAAGTGGTCCCAAGACAAGCTAACTGATTCATGTACCGTTGCCTCCACTCAAGATGTCAATTTGGATAATAAACAACTTTAAACCCTGAATAATGTGATTAGTCTTCCAGAAAACAAAGTAGTTTCCCAACAAGCAAATCATGATAAACAAAACAAAGTTGGTACGCCTCCATCAACTATCCCTTGCTTGCCTCATCAATTAAAATGGATTTGAAAGGAACATATGCTACTATCTCCTCATCAGGAAACATTATTCTGCCAAGAATCCCAAATCCACCATTCACCCACTGAACAATCTAATCTATAGCAAGAGGGGAATAAGAAAGGAGTGATAAAGTAATTGAACTAATTAGATAGATCTTCCCTGCAAGTTGTATGATCAAAGTTCAACATAAAGTAGAGAATGCACAATTCATTTGTGCTTGCCGCAAAACTCATGGGAATATCAATCCAAAAAAGCAAAGCCTTCCCTGTTAGAGAAGTGAAAGTGTGTTAAATTTATACCATGAGATACTAGCTAAACCCTAACTTGTCACCGCGAATCCAAGAGTCTCCGTTCTCTCCTGACCACCAGCAACCAAAACCCTACAAATGCAAAGATTAATTAGCAGGAACACAACACCAACCATGTTATATTTTGATCAAAGTTAGCCATAAGGATAAGGTCAATAAGCAGACCTTACGTATAAGATGAGTCTCTTAAGTGATGGTGAGCAGTTGGATTAAATCGATAGAGGCAAGAAGATGACTTTTCAGCAGACAGAAAAGAAAAACTCAAATAGGGGATCGAGCAAACTGAAAAGAAAAAAAGAGTCAGTACCGAAGGAGAATATGACCATGGTTTTACTTCTCTATATGAATATACAAATGAAAAGGGTGGATAGGGGAGAAGAAGGCTGACATAATTGGAGATCAACAACTTAGTGGTCTATACTCTCGGATTCTCAACTTCCGGAGCTCGATTTGCTTGCATCCGAGGGGAATTCCATTATATCGGCAAAGGGCTGCAAAATTGAGCTCGATTTGCTTTCAATCTTTCCCCTAGCGACTGATTCGGATTTCACTCGGCCCACAGGATGAGTGAGGTGTCTTCCATTTTACCACTAATAGTCGATTGAGTTTGGGGAAGGAAGGTCGACGATGGGGGAAAGAACGCAGGAACGCCAGCGAAGGGGAAGGAAGCAGGAATACCGGCGACGGGGAAGGAACAAGGAGGTCGACACATTATGGTTTAATGAAGGAACATTTTCAATCCTTCCCCTCCATACTATTTCAAACTTCACTCGTTCCACAAAATGAGTGAGGTGTGTTCCATTTTACCAGTGATAGGAACGATTGAATGGAAGGAAGGAACGACTGCAATGGGGGACGAAATACCATCGATGGGAGAAGGAATGAAGGTGATGGAGGCGGATTACTCCCAACTGCCGGAGGACATTGTTGTTAAGATAGCGAGGGACCATTTAGAGACCACTTCACAGATGGTTTTCTTCTCCGCAGTTTGCAAAACCTAGAGATCCATTGCTCTCCGACCCCGAAATTACAAGCACGGTGGCTCTCTACCGGGACTACCAGGCCTCCTCATCGCTAATGGGGAATCCGACGACCATGAGTTTTCTCCCATCACAATGTTCCACATATTCGTCACGACTCCGATTAAAGACAATCGTGATAAAACATCTCCTCCACCTCCACGAAGCCAGCAGCTGCCGCGCTTCACGATCCCTCGGGTCCTAACCTCCGCACCGACGATTATAGAGAAATACAGACGAACAATCCGTGCGTGGGCTCCAAAGACGGGTGGGTCCTAGTCAGGGGCGGATACATGCGACACCCCTAAAATTTAGGAAAACGATTATTCAAACCACAGTAGTAGTTTTGTATGAATAAAAGAAAATATAATTAGTAATCTGGGATACCACTAAAATTTGAAAAAATGATTATCATATCAATGTAGTTTGCATATGATTAAAACACATAAGTGGTCGTCTGTGTTATTCAAAACTATGACACTACTATTATTAAACGTATTCTCCACTAGTTTGCAACTCATTTGTTATTCCTTTTTAAACACTATGTAATAGTAAAATTTATTCTTTATCCCAAACTATTTTGAAAACCTAACAATTAAACTAATTACAGGTTACTCTTAATTTGATGTAATTTCATGGTTACACGACAAGTGTTGAAAGAGTCTTTTCAAGTTTGACTTACAAAAAAAAAACAAGGTTAGAAATCAAATATGCGATCAATTCTTGAATTTTTCTAGTATGATATACAAATTTGTTGAGTAGTGTAGACACCCCGATAAAAAGTTTCTGGATCCGCCACTGGTCCTAGTAATTCACCCACGCGCGGTCAGATTACACCTCCTCAACCCAATCACACGCGCTTCCATCCCTCTCCCCACTCTCCGGCCGAACGTTGGGGAGACCTCTTTCAACCGTCGGCCGTCTGACTTCATCGCGAAAGCCGCAATCTCTTCCTCTCCTGACGACCGTTGCAACAATTGCTACGTCTTCATCATATTATTAAGCCACGTCATTGACCCTGGGCTGGCCTGGTGCAGAGAGCGGATCCGGTGACTAAGGGGGGAGTGCTTAGTCACTTGACTAAGCCCCTCCCAACCCTTAGATCTGGACACATCAATCTGATGGTTAAAAAGTGGGAAGGGCTATTTAATTAATGACAGGGGTAGTTTAGGTATTATGGAAAATTACGAAGTATACAAACCGGACTTAGAATCAGTACAAACCATACAAACATACAAACAGTACAAACTAGAGCGACAAAACATACAAACAGATTTACAAACATTACAAACGTATGAACTGTACAAACAATACAAACTAGACCGACAAACAATACAAACCATACAAAAAGAAAAAAACAGCCGGGTTGACTTTGGAGGCTCCATCCCTATATAGAGGGGCTCCTTCCCAAAGTCAACCCGGGTGTTTTTTAGACATACAAACAGTACGAACATGGTTGACAAAAATGACAAACTATACCGACAATCCATACGAACTGAAAAAACACCCGGGGTGACTTTGGAGGCTCCATCCCTATATAGAGGGGCTCCTTCCCAAAGTCAACCCGGGTGTTTTTTAGACATACAAACAATACGAACATGGTGGACAAAAATGACAAACTATACCGACAATCCATACGAACTGAAAAAACACCCGGGTTGACTTGGAGGCTCCATCCCTATTTAGAGGGGCTTCTTCCCAAAGTCAACCCGGGTGTTTTTTAAACATAAAAAATATTATAAACATGGTTGACAAAAATGATAAACACGATACACAAAAATAACAAAGTTTACAAACATTAAAAAAAAAACCGACAAACATTACAAAATAACAAAGCGTACAAACATTTAAAAAAAACCCGACAAACATTACAAAATAACAAAGCGTATAAACATTACAAAATAAATCGACAAACAATACAAAGCATACTAACAGTACAAAATCTCTCTCTCTCTCACCTGGGACAATTCTTCCCATGTCCAAAATAAATTAATGGACAGCACAACAGAGGAGAGAAAGGGAATAAAAGCCGGCGGTAAATTTTCCCGGCCGGGGAAACGCGGAAGCCGGCAGCAGCCAATTTTTTTTATTATTATCTAAATTAATAAATTAAATAATCATGCAATTACTATAATGTCCTTTATTAAATTGGATTAATATGGGCTATTGGATTTTAATGAGGTGCAAGGGTCGAGATTGACTTAGTCATATGACTAAAGGACACCCCCCCCCCCCTAGTCACCTGATCTTAGCCCCCTGGTGCAAGGTAGGTCGGGGCCGGGAGCAGGCTGAGGTTGTAATTTCACGAAAATGCCAACAGAATATTTCTTCACCGTCGACGCCACCTATTTTGGAGGTAAACTTTACGTTCTGGAAGGCAAGGATTCTGTCTACGTTCTTGATGCACCTACTACCACTTCTCCTACTTGTTGGAGGAAACTCCCATTCTCTTCCGTGATGGCGTCACTCGTCGAGGAAAACCACGACTACTCCCATCAGTCCATCTACCTGCTCCTTCATCCAGCTGGGGAGACCGCATCTATTTTGCCTTCTCTTACTATTACGGCTATTTTGATCTAGGTTACGCCGATGACTTTTTTTTTATTTCTGAGTGATATTAATGGAAAATAATAGTTAAGCTTACAATTCTACCTAGGACCCCTAAAAGACTCTAAAGAAGCCACCCCGAAAAAACAAAAGATTCTAGCTCTACACGAGACAAAAGAAGTGCTTTACGTGCCACTCTATGGGCAGCACTAAAGGCGGATCTAGGTACCGCCCTAAACTCTATACAAACAGACAAAGAGCTAAGGATCTGAAGACACTCTCGTAACACCGGACCACCAATAGAGTCTTCTAAGACGCCTTGACGGACTTGGTTGACGACCACTTCGGAGTCACCTTCGACTATCTCGTGGGCCAAGCAATATCCCTTGATGTTGCAACCCGAACGCCAACATAACATGCCCGTCTGACCCACGGATAAAAAGCCCAGACGAACACCCGGAGGCACAAACAGCTGCGTCGATGTTGAACTTCAAAAAGCCTTCTGGTGGAGGGACCCAAGTGGTGGCAGGAAGGAATCGGAGTAGAGAGCTGCGGGGAGGAGGGGGAAGAAGAAGATTGGAGATTTCGAGGACCTGGTTGTAGAACTGTCTGGTTAGGGTACGGACATGAGGTTGGATAAATTCAAAGGTCACTTTACTTCTAGACTTCCATATTCTCCAAAGTAAACAGACGCATTGGAGAATGTGGAATAGGGAGGTCTCGGAGACCATGACATGTCGCCACCATAGACTAAAGTTAACAGTCTGGGCGGTCTCAATAAAGTTGCTCAATCCCACTAAAGTCCACAATATGATGGCTAGGGGACATCTGAATAATAAAAGTTCAATGCTTTCTCGATGTCTCCAGCTGACATGCCATCGGTTAAGGCAGTTTACTCCACGAGTTTGAAGGGCCACTACTATGGGAAGTATGACTTTGAGGCATTGCCATATGAAGAATCTGAGTACAATTAATATGGTACCAATTAATTTCATAATTATCCATTGGTCCCAATTAATATGAAAAATGGACAAAGAAGGAAATGTTACTAAATCCCTTAATTAATCACCCAATTCCTCCATATTTCAAATCCCAGCCATAAAATAGACACTGGATTTGTTTTACTACACTAGCCCAATAATTGGTCGAGGAGAGGAGCTTGTGCCACTGATACTTTGAAAACCATAAATTAATTAATTCTAAAAGTCAGAAAGTAATTATGAACGTCAGAATTAATTCTTTCTATCCCATAATTTGATATATAAACCAACCATAAAGGTTGTAAAGCGCCATAAAAGGACCGCTTAAGTGACTCATTAATCACTTGTAACAGATCATTAATCACTTGTAACGTGAAACATCCCGTTACGGCAAATCCCATATTTCGATCGCTAGAAACTTCGCGATTTAAAATCGAACATTTCGACACTATTTCGGCGAAAATCGGATTATCGATCGATCGGATAAGTATACGTATTAATTATGCATATATATAATTATATATATTTTATATATATTAAGCGGCCGGGCCGCATATATATTTATCCCCCTCCCCGTCCATTACGTCTCATCACCATCATAATATTTCCATTCTCGGACCGAGAAACAGAGGCGCACAGGGCACTCGAAGAATTAGATTGCAAAGCTCAATTCTTGAGCTACAGTGATCCAAAAATCCCGTAAGTAATGCCTAATTCATCTATTCATCGTGATTTATCGATTTAGAGTTTTAAAACGAGATTTTGGTTCAGGAATTTCTTGAATTCCCGATAAGCCAAATTAGGGTTTCGGAGTATCCGGAAGCCGGATTGAGCCCAAATTTCATATACGAGCTTCCTGCAGCGAGGTAATCAATCCTCTAGTTCTAATCCCTGAACTTCGGCTATTATTTAGGCCGGGGTCCAAACCGCTGAATTTAGCTCCGGCCAGGGTTTGATGTGTTTTTATCGAGAATTTGACACTGAGCCTAGAACTAATATTGACGGGGATACTGCAGGGGATATTAGGACGGTCTCGGATTTTAATTCGGGGTTCGTTCGTGAAATTGACGTTTTAGTACGGGAAGGTTAAATCGGTGTTTGAACGACCAGAACGGGTGAGGGATTAGCACGGCATACCGGGTTTGTCGTATCACGATAATTATATTGATGCTTAGAATTGATCTAGGTGAACTAGAATGGCATGATTAGGGGTGTATGAGCTTTTGTGCTATATGTTGAACCCTGGATTGCTGTATGATATTATTGACTTGCCCTAATCGATATGAACCTTGTTTATGCTGATGATTGTGTATATATTGCAAATTGTGGGCTTGACTGTTAATATGCTTTACGATGGTTCGAGAAGGTGATTAGGTATGATTTTTCATGATTGTTGTATTTGGATGCACAAGTGGGAAAATATATATTCCTTGGTGATATTATGATGTTTAAGGAGGATGACTTGCACGAGGGTTTATCCCGAGGAAGTGCAATTATACGACTCTTGATTTACCTATGTTGAGCCAATTATGGCCAGGGCAAGTACATGTGTAAGTAATGAATTATGATTAAGCAAGATGAAATATGAATCATGTACAAGGATACCAAATATGAGTGTTGTGGTCTCACGGTCAACTACATAGTAATTAGGGCTCCCTATGCTATTACTCTATTATGATATGTATGATAGTCACACCTCTCATGTGGTGGTGACTAAAGAATTCTTATGAGATATGACCACACCCAGAGCGGTGTCGGGGTATGACTACACCCATAGTGGTGTGGGGTATGTATGACCACATCCGACGGGATGTTGGGGTATGTATGACTACATCCGACGGGATGTGGGGTATGTTTCCCGGGAGAGTTATTAGCATGGGAGTAGCCAGGAGCCTATAAGTAAAACATGATAAGATGCATTTGCATAAGTCAAGGTGGTTGAGTCTTTTGCCTATTGGGATGTCGGAGGGCTGAGATATGATCCTAGTGCTTTGGCTTGTTTGCTAGATGTATGGTAGTAGTATGCTATGTTATGAACTCACGATGCTATGATTATCTCACTCAGCTATGAGCTGACCCTCTTTATCATCTTTCTCTGCTTATGCCATGTGTAAGCAGATCATCAGCAGCAGCAGTAGATAGGTGTATAGGTGGGAGCTGAGCAAGAGTTGAAGGCAAGATGAGGTATGGTCTTCAACTATTTTGTGCTTGGACTACTACTCGGGATTTTGGCCAGTGATCCACACCTTTTTGTAAAAGAATGTTTTGAGAACGTTTTTCATGTGCATACTAGCTTTTGATGTAGTGTCAGATATCCACAGGTGTGGAAAGTTAATGATATGTGTATTATGTGGTTTTGTAAGTTATGACGATTATGGCTTGTATCAGTGTGGTATGCAGGTGTGTAGTATGAAACTGTGACTATGGCTGTGAAAAGCCAATGCATATGGTTGTGAGTATATATGTTTGTGATGAATTATTTTGCAGGATAAGTTGCAAGAACTGTTAGCCCATTACGTGAGTAATTCATGTCGAAATTTTATTTGGGTAAATTTGGATAATTAGTGTAACACCCAAGTTTAATTCCGCTGCAATTGTATGAAAAATATGATTAGGCAAAACATATAGGGTAGGGTGTTACAGTTTGGTATCATAGCCCGGTTCCCTCTTTTTGCTGTTATGGCGTACTATACCCTATGGGAGTTTAAACACTCCTAAGGAGGGGAGTACCCCATAATGACTTAAACTGGGAATTGAGTTTGACATGATTATGTGTATTGGTATATTGGATGAAATTACCTGCATCATGGTTTTCAAAATTGAGTTTTGAACTTATTTGTTTTCAAGTAATTATTTTGGAAATTTTTTGTTTTAACCAAGTCAGAGATTTGGTGAAGAATGAATTTTGTGTGGATCAATCTAAGGCCAATATTTCCTTGTAGCTCGCACGGAAGTTGTGAAAATGTTCCTACTGACCAGTCGAGAGGAGTGGGGGCGGTTGATGCAAGACCGCCAGTATTAGATTATGCAAAGATGAAGAGTTTGGGTGGTAGGGACTTTAAGGGAGATGTGAGCCCAGATGCTGTAGTAGAGTGGTTGAGAGAGATGGAAGATGTGTTTGAGTATCTTTATGCAACCCCAGAGGAAAAAGTGCAATATGTTGTTTTTCTCCTAAAGGGGTATGCGAGGAGCTGGTGGTCCTCAGTCTCTAGAGTTAATGGCGAACGAGTTCAGTTCACCTGGGAGGAGTTTCTGAAGGCCTTTAAGACAGAGTTTCTTCCCGAAGCTTTTATCAGGGCAAAGAACAATGAATTTGCCAACCTTAAGCAGGAGAATATGACAGTTACTGAGTACACCATCAAGTTTGTTCGACTGCTTTACTTTGAGGATGGGTTGGCGGATACTGAGCATAAGAAGAAGATGAGATACTTGCATGGTCTGTGCATAGGGTTGAAAGAAAAGGTCCACAGGGTTGATGAAGAGAGTATGGCCACAATCAAGGAGGCAGCACTTAAGTATGAAGCCTATGAAGTTGAGAGCCGAGAGGAACACAAGGCCAAAGAAGAGGAGAAGAAGAGGAAGTTTGGAGTAAATTATGCTGGACCTCGTTACCCACCCAGGAGAGGTCCTAGCAGTTTTGGGAGAACACCAAGTCAATCTATGTCGGGAACATCATACAGGGCACCAATTTCCTCAGCCACACAATTTCCATTTTGTCAAGTTTGTCAGAAGAGGCATATTGGAGAGTGTAGGAGATTTTCTGGTGTATGCTTTCACTGTGGCCAACCTGGGCACATCATGAGGGATTGCCCGCATGCGAGAGAAGTAAGAGCTACACAGTCCGAGCCTTCAGTGCAAATGAGTAGAGCCCCATTCAGGGGTGGTTACCAGGGAGGCCGTAGTGGATTTCAGAGTGGTCGTGGTGGTTCACAGGGTGGTAGAGGTGGTGGTCGAAATCAGCCATCAGGAAGTGGTACGCAGGGTACCAGAGCACAGGGAGCACCGAGGGTTTATGCAATGACTCGAGGTGAGGCAGAAGTGGCACCAGAAGTTGTAACTGGTATGCTTTCTATCCTTGGCAAGCAATTATATGCTTTGATCGATACTGGTTCCTCTCACTCATTCATGTCATATACGTTTGCACATATGCTACGCTTAGTTCCAGATAAGCTAGGTTATACCTTATGTGTTAAAACACCTGTGGGAGATACCTTGAAGGTAGACTCAGTTATTAGAAGTTCCTTCATTTGTGTGGAAGGAGCTTTCCTAGCAGCGGATTTAATTCTGCTACCTTTTGATGAATTCGATGTCATCCTTGGAATGGACTTTCTGGCAACACATGGAGCTGTTGTGGATTGTCAAAAGAAAGAAGTGTTATTCAGCACACCAGATAAAGGTCCTGTTGTATTCCGAGGCATTAAGAAAAAGGAGACTCATGGTTTTCTTTCTGCCTTGGAAGCTTTTCGATTAGTGAAGGAAGGTTGTGAAGCCTTTCTTGCTCAAGTTACTATAGTAAATGATAAGAAGGTTGAGGATGTAGAGGTGGTAAGGGAATTTCCTGATGTATTCCCCGAAGAACTTCTCGGCCTTCCACCAGAAAGGGAAGTAGAGTTTGATATTGAATTGGTACCTGGCACAACACCAATTTCAATGGCACCATATAGAATGGCACCAATTGAGCTGAAGGAGCTTAAAGAACAATTGCAAGAGTTGTTAGACAAGGGGTTTATTCGACCTAGCATCTCACCTTGGGGTGCACCGGTTTTGTTTGTCAAGAAGAAAGATGGTT